TCCGCTGTACGAAGGATAACTATTTAGAAAGGTCAAGCCTTGAGCGAAATCTGACCATAATAATCATGGCTGTAATCCAAAATTTGCGCAACATGGAAAGGGCTCTTGATAGGAACAACAACAAAATTTGATATACTTGATTACTTTATTTGTCATGTAAAATAAGATACTAAGTCACGAGAAAAACCTTTTCACCTCTGTCTGTTTATATTCGAATGCCGCGGATATTAGTCATGAGATTGAAATATCGTGTGTTCCCGAATACAAAGCAGGCAGCTTTCGCTTCATCCCATCCCGTTTCTCTTTAGGCGGTGTTTTCTGCTACGTATTTCAAGTATTTGACTCGTTACCAAGGCTCAGAGATTTCTGTAGTTCCGAACGACTTCGGACTCTTAATTGTAAAGGTGAGTAAATACATTCCCTTTTGTTGCCTGTTACTTGCCCAATCATTGATAAACCAACTATTTCCCCTCTCTCGCCATGCGGCGTATTCAGCTGAAATATTGGAAGTTAATTAGGAGATGCGGCTAAATATCAACGATCTGCGAGACAGAGAAGTGTTCCTCTCATCTTAGGCCAAATTTAAAAGCTCATCGTTAACATTTTATTGGAGGCAACCAGACGATTCATTTTCATCTGGAAGGGGGGGTGAGGTATTTCCTAAAATGACTCACATGGGGAGGCTCCGCCTATTAGACCGACCTTTTCCAGGCTTCAGTTTTTTCAAAGGGTTACGGAATCTGTCGGTTTGATATTCAAAAGTAGGCTTAAAAGAGGCACAAATTTTTTGTGGAAAGTGTACGAAAAGAATGCCTCTTCTACAGTTGTAAGAGTGAGTAAGGTGTCGGACCTCAACGGGAACCTTATGATCTTGAACTTCTTAGAGCACCCCCGGTTTTGATACCGCCGAGAGCAGTTTCCTGGCGGTATTGCATCCTTACCACTTTTTTCCTCAAACAGTTTACATTGTCGTTGTAGCCACACCCTGCGGAAGTTGTCATACACAAGAGAAGAATTCATTCTCGCAGCCGATCTTCCACTTCGACATAGGCGAGAGAAGGTAAGTTATTTCTGCGTTATATCTGGATCACATGTTTGTTGAGTCAATGCTGTCCAAAACTATAAAACGTTTGAGAACCGTTGGACCACAAAGTGGAGTTTACCCGTATAGAACGTTTATTTCGTTAGTAACCTACCCCATCCCTCGGTTGTCGATGCCATAAGTAGCCTTTACTGAGCCCAAGCTTTACCAAATTTTGCTTCTAACTCTAAATACGTTGTTGTTTCACTCCTTCGTAGTGGAAGCTGTTGTAAACGAGAGGGAAAGTTCACTTCGATTTAGACAAGAAAAGGTAAGAAATCTCTGCGCTTTATTTGGACAACATATTTGCACGTTTGTCGGATCATAGTGTAAAAACTGCTGTCGGAAATTAATAGCATTTGAGAAGGGAACGAGCCGATGGTACGCATGAAAGTGGTAGAAGTAGCTCGAACAAAAACCTTAATACAACTTATCAGCTGAAATCGAGCCTGTCCGCCTATAGGGGAGTTTAAAATGTTCGCGATTGTGCTGCAGTTGATATATTCTGATTGAACCAAACTTTTACGCCCTAAAGCTCAGCTTGACATTCTACACCGAAGAGCGGAAAGCGGATGTGATCACATGTTATTGGATCTGTCAATACCATGCTCTGATTGATGCAAAATTTTATTAGAACCACGTCTGTGTCTCCTCAAATTAACGGCTAAAAAAGACTCGAATGATTTTAAACTATCGGTTATCAGTCTTTCGTCACATGCATGTTTCCAAGATGTTACTCAACGAACTGTTCGCAAATATGGAAACCAAAAGTTGGGGCTGGTGCGGACGAAAAAGGGATTGAAGCGAGACGAGAAAGACACTGACTCGTTCCAGTCTTACGCTTATCATATTTAAACGCTAAATAGCCAGCAAAGGTTATCTTATTCTACATTCCAGAGATCTGGACCTCATCGCCTGACTAAGCCGACGTTTTAGCAGCGCATAGCAGTTCAAACGTCACGATCTGTAATTCACAGTTTCGTCGTAATTGGTCGTTTCGTTTCAGTTTACATACAGTAACAGTTTAGACTACGTACATCAACAAGTGCCTTATTTTTTTTATTTTATTGTTATTCATTCAAATGACATCTCTAATTTTTGCATGCTATGATTTTAAATAAATAATTGCAATACAAAGCAGGCAGTTTTCACTTCATTCCATCCCGTTTCTCTTTAGGCGGTGTTCTCTGCTACGTATTTCAAGTATTTGACTCATTACCAAGACTCAGAGATTTCTGTAGTTCCGAACGACTTCGGACTCTTAATTGTAAAGGTAAATACATTCCCTCTTGTTGCCGGTTACTTGCCCTATCAGAACAGTATATTGATAAACCGACTATTTTCCCTCGCTCGCCATGCGGCGTATTCAGCCTAAATATTGTAGGTGAATTGGGAGATGCGGCTAAATATCAACGATCTGCGAGACAGAGAGAAGTATTCCTTCACATCTTAGGTCAAAAATAGAAGCAGCCAGACGATTCACTTTTATCTTGAAGGGGGGGGGGGGGGGGTGAGGCATTTCCTACAATGACTCAGATGGGGAGGCATTAGACGGACCTTTTCCAGGCTTCAGATTTTTTAAAGCATTACGAAATCTGTCGGTTAAATATTAAAAAATAGGCTTAAAAGGGGCACAATTTTTTGTGTGGAACGTGTACGAAAAGGATGCCTCTTCTACAGTTGTAAGAGTGAGTAGGGGTCCGGACCTTAACGGGAACCTTCCCATCTTGAACTTCTACAAGCACCCCTGTGTTTTGATAACCGCCGAGAGCAGTTTCCAGGCGGCATAGCATCCTTACCACTTTTTTCCTCAAACATTTTACGTTGTCGTTGTAGCCAGACCCTGCGGAAGTTGTCATACACAAGAGAAGAATTGATTCTCGCTGCCGATCTTTCACTTCGACTAAAGCGAGAGAAGGTAAGTTATTTCTGAGTTTTATCTGGATCACATGTTTGTTGAGTAAATGCTGTCCAAAAATATAAAACCTTTGAGAACCGTTGGACCTTAAAGTGGAGTTTACCCGTATAGTGCGTTTACTTCGTTAGTAACCTACCCCTTCCCTCGGTTTTCGATGCCGTAAGTAGCCTTTACTGAGCCTAAGCTTTAACAAATTTTGCCTCCAACACTTATACGCTGTTATTTCACTCCTTTGTAGTGGAAGCTTTTGTAAACGAGAGGGGAAGTTCACTTCGACTGAAACAACAAAAGGTGAGAAATCTCTGCGCTTTATTTAGACAACATATGGGCACGTTTGTCGGACAATACTGTAAAAAATGCTATGGAAAATTAATAGCGTTTCAGAAGGGAACGAGTCGACGGTACGACCGAAAGTAGTGGAAACAACTCGAACAAAAACCTTGATACAATTTATCAGCTGAAATCGAGTCTGTCCGCCTATAGGGAAGTTTAAAACGTTCGCGATTGTGCAATAGTTTATATATTCTGATTCAACCGAACTTTTACGCCCTAAAGCTCAGCTTGACATTCTACACCGACAAGCGGAAAGAGGATAGGATCACTTGTTTATTGGATCTCCTCATACCATATTGACGCAAAATTTTATTAGAACTGTTGTGTCTCCTCAAATTAACAACTAAAAGACTCCAATGGTTGTAAACTATCAGTCATCGGTCTTTGCTCTCATGCATGTTCCAAAATGTTACTCAACGAACTGTTCGCAAATATGGAAACCAAAAGTTGGGGCTGGTGTGGACGAAAAAGGGATTGGGGCGAGACGAGAAAGACACTGACTCGTTCCAGTTTTACGGTTACCATACTTTAATGCTAAATAGCCAGCCAAGGTTGACTTATTTTACATTCCAGAATAGTTGCGTGATGCCTCGAGTACTATTTCGTAGATCTAAACCAAACACAGATTCCCCGTCGTTAAGATCACATAGCAAAGATAAATCTGTTCGGTTTTGATTTAAGCGACCTTTTTTGCGAAAAACAACAAACTTTACTGATTTTTCCGCACAGGGGCTCAAAGTGAATAGTTTGATCGGTGATTTTACAAAGAGTAATCACTTCACGTCTCTCTGAGCTCTTGTGGTACTTTCTTTAGCTGTAATTGTTCCCTAAGCAGTCGAAGCATTGCACAATGTGTTTACATTATTATTATTGTTATTGGTGTTCTTTTTGTGCATCAGCCGAGCGCAAACCATGCACCTAGAGCATCAGTCACTCAAGTCAATCATTCTGCTCATACACTAAGCAGCTTTCTGAGGATTTGCGCAGATCCCAGCTTACAGATCTTTTGAATCTCCGTCACAGTAACTGCTTCTGATACTTTCTTTATGTTTTCCACCATCCCATTCTTTACATGTACCAAGCGCACCAACAATCACAGGGATCACCAAGGTTTTCATAAGTCACATTCTGTGTATTTTTATTTCTAGATCTTTGTACTTGCTTTTCTTTTTCTTTTCCTTCAGAGCGACGTTTCAATCTGATGGAACAGTTTTATCAATCAGTTTGTAGGGGGAATTCACTGAATCTTTAACTACGATGTCTGGTCTGTTCGCTGTTATAGCTCTGTCAGTATTCACTGACATATCCCATAATGGGGTGCTGTTGTTGTCTTTACTGTGCATCACAGTCTCATGTTCATACCATTTGTCTGTAATCTCGATACCGTGATCTTTACTGATGCTCCAATGGAGATATGCTACAGCATTATTGCGCCTGGAGATGTACTCTGTTCTAGGCCTCACATTCGGATACAGTATAGTTCAGCTGTCTCTTCATATTGTGAACACATTCTGCATTTGCCGTCCACTTGCTGGCCTCATATTACTTTCTGGTAGTTTCTGGTGTTTACTGCCCGGTCTTGAGCTGCGACGAGTAGTCCCTCTGTTTTTCCTTTCAGATTACTTGACAACCATTTGTTGGTGATGACTGTGTCTGCTTGAGGCTTCTCTAGAATCCTGGGATACTGGCCATGCAATGTTTTGATTTCCACTTTTCTTCGTTTATGGATTTCATCTTAGACTTGAGTATGTGTTTTAGGGCCTTAGCATTTTCCGAGGTTGATTTTTCTCCTCTGTTCTCAAACTCTGGCAGTTATTTCCCTTTTGAAATTAGTAGCATTCCTTGCTATTGAATTTTTGGCTTTATATCTTTCATGTCCAAGCACCTGCTTTGGATATTGCCATTCTTTGTGCCTCAGGTAATGATTGAGCCCTATTGTAACTGATTTTAATGCTGCTTCTATATCAATCAGGCCCCGTCCTCCATCTTTTCCTGAGATGTACAGCCTTTCCGCATCTGCTTTAGGATGTAATATCTTGTGCATGTTCAAAAGTTTGCGTGTTTTTGTGAAAATCTTCTTCAGTTTGCAGATTTTCCAGTCAATAATGCCAAAACTATAATGCACAACTGAAAATGCAAGGCTATAGACAGCTTCTATCTTGTTTCTCCATTGAGCTCAGTTCTTAGGATCAACTTACTCTCCGGTTATATTTCTTATCTTCTCTTTCATTTTGCTATGCTGGATACCATCACTTTTATCTACACTCAGGTATTTGTATAGCCCTTCCTGGTCCAACTCTTGTATTTCTGTGTCCTTATCTATTACTATATTTCCGGTTGAGGTCAGTCTACCTTTCTTGAAACTGGCTATGGCACATTTCTTAAGGCCAAATTCTATACATCATGGAATTGTTTCACTATTTTCAGTTCTCCAATTTGTTCTTGCTTGTTCTTGCTGTACAATTTTAGATCATTCATATAAAAACAGATTGCTGATTGTAGCACTTGTGTTTTTTAACCTTGTAACCATACCCACATGTAGCCAGCTCTGATGTTAAAGGCACAAGGGAATCTCCTTGAAAGACCCTTCTTTGGATCTTGATCTGATCCATTATGATACATTCATCATTGTAAGATAGCGTTATTATAGTTTTCCAGTTGCTCACTGATTAGTTTTTCATTAAATCTGTACATCTGGAAGGTTTGTACTTTCCAACTATGAGGGACACTGTCATAGGCTTTTCTGTAATCTATCCAAGTCATACCCAAGTTCTTTTTCTTCTTTTTGCAGTCTTCTATGATCATTTTATTTATTAGGTGTTGATCTTTGCATCCATATGAATTCCAGACACAACCTCTATGTTCTTCCGGTAATGTACAATTCTTTGTGATATGGGTGTAGCTTCTTTCGGATAAAATCGATTTGAGCACTTTTTCTTGTAGGATGTTGATAAGCAGGAAATTGGTCTATAGTTTTCGGGGTTCTCTGTGTCTTTGTTCTTTGGTATTAAGTATGTTTGTGTTGTTGTAAACCAGTCAGGCAGATTTTCGGGGTTTTCTATTGCTTGGTTTTGTACATTCAGCAGGTGTTGATGTAGTGCTGTGAGTTGTTTGGGCCAGATGTTAGGAACCACATCAGGGCCCGGTGACTTCCAGTTGCTTGTTTTCTTTAGAGCGGTCTCCAACTCATCTAGGCTTATGTCCTCCCATGGTTGGCATTCTGTTTCTCTTTATCCACTCTGCTGAATGGTTGTACTCTATTGTTATTCAAGATGGAACACCAACATGTTTCTGTTGCTTCTTTCTTAAGTGGTTTTTCAACTGACATCTGTTCTTTACCAAGGTTTCTGACGAACTTTTTTCTATGTTTGCAAACATCTGGTTTTGACTGAATTGTTTACTTCTTTTTACATGTCTCCTGATTCTTTGGGGTTTTGCTTCAATTTTCATTTTGAGGTGTCCTGTTACTGTTTGCAGTTCTTGGTTTGTTGTTATTTTGTATTTACTTTTAATTCGTTGTTTTTTCTTGGAGATCTTTTGGGTTTCACCTTTCTGTGCCATGTCTGTTAGTATCGACAGCTCAGCTCTCATGCTTTTAATCTGATTCTCTTTTCTTGTCTTCCATTTTAGTTGTAGCTGTTTACTACTTTTTGTCTTTAGGATTTTTGGCATTTTACCCATCATTTCAGATATTACCTTCGCAGTCACATATGGAACTACGTTGATGTTATTGAGGTTGAGTACCTCTTCTGCTATTACCTGCTGCATTGCTTAGTTTGCTTGTTTGATCAACAGTTTCACTTTTCTGTTCATTGATATCTTGGGTAGAAGGGACCCCTCTGTCATTCTGATGTTTTCCCATTCAGTCCTTGCCAGCTCTTAATTTCTTTAACTAAGTCTTTGATCTCAGATGGATTATAGGATGGTCCTACCTCATCTTCATTTTGTTGCCTCATAAAGGTTGTTGGCTTTTTCTTCAAACGCATCATCTACTACGCTATCTATTTCGTTGTTTTGTACAGTCAATTAATTTTCAATCCGTTGCTTAATGTTATCTAGCTCAATCCTTGTTAGTTTGTTTTGTTTTTCAAAAGATCTTCGTTGGTTCATCACCGCGTTGTCTGTTAAATTGGGCCTTTCACTTGGGTTTCTTTCCCTCCATATTCTGTTTGTATCTTTTGTTACACCTTCACTGGGGCCTGTCTTTGCCTTATATTAGCAAAACATGACTTCAGTGTAATCCTCTCGTGCCATTTCTGTCTGGTGTTTGTTCTTTTTGTGTTGCTACCTGCCCGATCTGGTGAGGAAGGACCCTCTTGGGAGAGACTCTCAGTTGGGTTGGCCGCCACTGCAGGTGGAGAGGGTAGATCAGTAGCCAATTTTTCGACCTCAGCCTGACCACTCACTGAAGGACGCGCTCCTTGATGACCTGCACGACGGGCGATGCGGTATGAATTCTTTGTATTTCTACTACTCATATTGGTGAAGATGCTATTTGACCCATAGCCGGAGAGAGGTTATCCCGCGCCAGATCTCAACTTGGTATTTCTAACCCTCGCGGTTTTATCATTATTGTTATTATTATCATTATTGTTATTATTATCATTATTGTTATTATTATCATTATTATTATTATTATTATTATTATTATTATTATCATTGTTATTAATATTTAACTGGCAGAAAGTTACTTCTAACACCGATATATATACTCTTGGCGAAACAAGACTCCAGGTAGCTTCTGTTCTTGCCGGCCGGCCTATGTGTGCTCATTCGCACGCAAGAAAATATGACTTCCCTCTACAGAAGCTTCTCTGTTCCAATGAAACACGGACCTAAGCTCAAATCTTGACTCCAGTCGTTCAAAGTTTTGTTAACTGTTCTTCTTTGCGGTATGTTAAAGAAAGGTTGATCATGAAGAGTTTCAGAAAGGATTACTTTGAGATGTTATGCAACTCAGCGAGGCGGGACATCCCAAGATTCCTCATACACTCTTATTTCCCTCTGCGCTTCCGAGACTGTCAAGGGACAGTAAGCTCTGTTGCAAGGAGGAGCACCACAGGCTAGTTTTTTTAAGGGAAATTCAGTATCATCAACTGAGTTGATAACGTAAGTTGGCCACTGTAAAGAGTTTAAAAGCTAATATTTCGAGCGTTAGCCATTGCCAATTGCTCTGACAGAGGGCTAACTCTCGAAACGTTAGCTTTTAAACTCTTTACGTTGACCAATTTACGTTATAAACTCTGGTGATAATACTTAACTACCCTTTTATACTCTCCCACTGACACAGCACCACAGTTTCTTCAGAAATTGGCCTCCCTTAATTTTTTTTTGCGTTGTTCTCTTATGTAGGGGTCATGTTAAGGGCTAAGAAAAATTTACAGTGATGCGAGAAACTAGGATTGCTGTTAATCGCTGAATAATTACTTTACCATCAGCAATTAAAGACATTCCACTCCCTGAATTCAGAGTTATTCTTAATTAAATCTTCTCAGGTGTGTCAAAAAACTCCGCCATTTTGTAACTGGCTTCTGTGCAACCCCCAATGTACCAAATGTTAGTGAAGAATTCCCTTTGTATGAAAGTTTTATTTCGCGTAATTTCTCAATTGGAACTGTTTTATTACAGACCCGAGGAAAATCTCTTCAGATGCTTTGAGATCATTGTTGCTGATCATAAAAAGGTAACAGTAATGACTCTACGGCCGTTTACAAACGAACAGTTAAATTACTTCAAGTTCGCTTTTGTCGTGAGACTGTCGTGCTCAGTGAATCTCCAAAGGTATTACGCCAAGTCTTCAAAACTTTTCCATCCATCCACAATTTCCATCCTTTTTGAAGTTTGAGTTACATTTTCTGGTATACTAAGTACTGTTGCAGAGATTGCGCCATAATCTTGTAATAATGTTGAAACAGTCTAGTGAACACACCATGGAATTGAATATATCTTGTGTTTTTGTTTGCGAAATGGAAGCGTCTCATGAATAAATTTTCATACTCTTAACTCGTTCCAATCTGAGCCGTACTTAACTCGATAAAAGTGATGACAATTCAATCTTACTTTTCTGAAATCAAACTTTTCAACGGATGCGCCTACGGGAAAATACCGGGAACCCAGTGCTGCGTCATAGTGGAGACATGTTGGCTTCACTCAGCTGATAAGCTATTGATATGATTTTACCTGAGCAGTTTTCAATTGAGTGTAGAAAATAATCCAAAATTACTATGCTCCCACTTTACTTTGCTCTGCGATTGGTACAGAAAACCCTCACCATCCTCTAAACGAATCAGGTTCAAAACTTGACCAATTACGTCTTAGTCAATACCGTTTTTTCGCGCTCCAGGTAGTTTGCTTGTTTCTACTTCGAGATCTCATTGGCTGCTTATGATGTTTTCCATAGTTTTCAGTGATTGATTTTGATGAGTTTGGCTTTGACTTTACTACAAACGCCACTGTAGCTGCCTCAACCCTTTACACCCTAACATCATTATGCATATTCTCCATACTGTTCTTTACACATTTCCTCAGTTTTAACAAGGAGAATTTGTAAAACCATCACGAGCTTCGTTAGTTGCTGATCATTTCCTTTATTCTCGTGACTTAAACATTTGATTCAAGGGAAGGATTGTAAAGAGAAATTAGAACCTTGTCACTCTTAGGGATTATAGGGTTAAAGCGCCATTAGATTTGTTTATGTTTATTTGTACTAGGCGGCCATCTCGATTGCTCGCGTTCAGTCTTGTAGTAAAAATAATCATCCTCTTTATTGTAAAGAATTCTATAGAAATATCTACTGTTTGAGAATAAATATGGCTTAGAAAGAGAAGTTGGTCAAAACACCAGTGGCTGGATAACTGTTGCTTATCTTCAAAAGACGTGATAACCATTGTGTTCTCTCGGCATAATCGAGGCGTGACGTATAACGTGTGAAACAAGCTGGATATGTCACGTGCGCGTTTGTGAAAGGCTCGAAGTTATAGGCGAAGTGAGTTCTCACGTGTAGCTAAACGCGACGCATGAATCATCAGCATATGTATTTGAGCCTGTTTGAAGAATACATTTTATGGCTGAACTCCTAGCATAATGAAAGTACTGCTTAGATCCTACCCGCGAGCGAGGGGAGCGTGGGTCCCTCGTTCCTCGCCTCTTGACTTGCGTTTTTTTGTAATTAGCGCCAACAAAAAAACGAGAAAATTAAAAAATTTGAATCACCTGAGGAAACTTAAATTACTAAATCCATCTTGATGGAAAATAAACGATTAAATACAACTAAGGCGTGCCAAAATGCATGCAGCAATGACAGTTAACCATTATCCTATCATGCAACATAAGTATTGACGTGTAATCATTCGACCTCATCGCCTGACTAAGTCGATGTTTAGAAGTACTCAGCAGTTCAAACGTCACGATTTGTAACTCACAGTTTGATTCTACAATCAATAGTAACTATAAATCATAAGATAGAAATAAGAGAGATGGTAAGTTTTGATCTCGGTAAAGAAATAAAGAAAGATGTTTTTCATCTTGTCACGAACGTGGGACAAAGAATCTACAAACATTACGCTAACGACAGTGTTGATCCTAGTAGCATGCAGGACGCGTGTCATATGAACTTCGTAATAGACCTCGCTCACCATGGAGTCTCTGTGGCTCAGTGGTAGAGCATCGTAGCGCGGAATCCGAAGGTCTGAGGTTCGATTCCTCATGAGGATACAGAATTTGTTCTTTGTTCCATGCTTGTGACAAGATGAAAAACATCTTTCTTTATTTATTTGTCATGTAAAGTAAGATACTAAGTCGCGAGAAAAACATTGTGACCTCTGTTTACTTAAATTCGAATGCCTCGGGCGTTAGTCATGAGTCACTTCATCCCATCCCGTTTCTCTTTAGGCGGTGTTCTCTGCTGCGTATTACAAGTATTTGACTCGTTACCAAGACTCAGAGATTTCTTTAGTTCCGAACGACTTCGGATTCTTAATTGTAAAGATGAGTAAATACATTCCCTTTTGTTGCCTGTTACTTTCCCAATCAGAACAGTAAATTGGTAAACCGACTATTTTCCCTCGCTCGCCATGCGGCGTATTCAGCTTAAATTTTGTAAGTTAATTAGGAGATGCGCCTAAATATCAACGACCTGAGAGACAGGAAGTATTCCTTCACATCTTAGTCCAAAAATATAAGCTAATCGTTAACATTTTACAGCGAGACGATTCACTTCTATCTTGAAAGGGGCTGTGAGGTATTTCCTAAAATGACTCAGATGGGGAGGCTCCACCCATTAGACGGACCTTATCCAGGCTTCAGATTTTTTTAACGGATTGCGAAATCTGTCGGTTGGATATTCAAAAGGAGGCTTAAAAGGGGCACAAATGTTTTTTGGAAAGTGTAAGAAAAGGATGCCTTTTCTACAATTGTAAAAGTGAGTAAGGGGTTGGACCTCGACGGGAACCTTCTCATCTAGAACTTCTTAGAGCACCCCCCGACCTTGATACCACTAAGAGCAGTTTCCTGGCGGTATTGCATCCTTACCACTTTTTTCCTCAAACAGCTTCTATTGTCGTTGAAGCCAGACCCTGCGGAAGTTGTCATACACAAGAGAAGAATTGATTCTCGCTGCCGACCTTCCACTTCGACGTAGGCGAGAGAAGGTAAGTTATTTCTGCGTTTTATCTGGATCAGTTGTTTGTTGAGTCAATGCTGTCCAAACTATAAAACGTTTGAGAACTGTTGGACCTCAAAGTGGAGTTTACCCGTATAGAAAGTTTACTTCTTTAGTAACCTACCCCTTCCCTCGGTTGTCGATGCCATAAGTAGCCTTTACTGAGCCTAAGTTTTAGCAAATTTTGCTTCTTACACTAATACGCTGTTGTTTCACTCCTTCGTAGTGGAAGCTGTTGTAAACGAGAAGGGAAGTTCACTCTGATTCAGACAAGAAAAGGTGAGACATCTCTGCGCTTTATTTGGACAACATATGTGCACGTTTTTCGGATATTACTATAAAAAAATGCTGTCGAAAATTAATAGCATTTGAGAAGCGAAGGAAGTAGTGAAAGCAGCTTGAACAAAAACCTTAAGTACCGTTCTCGGTAAGAACGGTCCTCTCGACTTCTCGTTGGACAAAAAATTTTCTTTAATGATTTTACGCTGTTATGGACCACAACCAGTTTTGAGTGACAAACTCAAGATTTCCCTGCGATCATCAAAATCAACTGGACAAACCCAGCTCATGTATTGCCTGACGTGATTATGCTAATTTTTCTCTTGTCGTATAACCTGTTTCGCGGGTTGTAAAAAGTGAAATGTAATGAATTAGAATCGAAAGTTATTTCGCTCCCTTGCGCTCTGAGTGCCAACTATTACTTTCACCGCATTTCCAATGTTTCCCAAAGTGTTCCGATGTTTAGAACACACCAATATCTGTTTTGTTTTTCCATTTTGAGGCTAAAGGGATCCGAGCGAAACAAAATTAACTTGTACTTGAGGATTTCGCTGGATAGCTGGTAGTGCCTTTAATGACTCGATACGTTGTCCTGGTATTCTACGACAGAAATCAGGGCTGAAACGCCCGCAGCTACTACATTCTTTGCTTTCCATGAATCAAGTAAATATTTTAAAAGATAAAATTCTCAGTAAAATGTAAAATTCCTCAGTCCATTTTAATAACTTTCGATTCTAATTCAATGTAGAAAATAAACAAACGATTTTTGAACGATGAGAAGAAGATCTTAGTCAATTTTCAGAATGAATTTGCGTTGTTTTTAAGATGCTGGTGGATGAAAGTTAGAGATATACCCGCGGGTTTGAGGCAATCGGTGATCTCATTGGTGCATAAACTATGTACCGATATGCTTTTTTAGCACGATTAACGCCTGCAATTTAAGAATTCTTTCGTACAAAACGGTGAACTTTGATATTAAAATTAAGGTCGAAGAGAAGGGTCTCTGATCACGCTGGTATAAAAAGTTTCAGGCGAAGTTTCCATATTTTGTCTGCGAACTAACTGAATACATCTTGTAGCTTGTAGCGAGATAAAATTCCGTGAGCTATATTATCGCAGTCGCTGCGCGCTGGATAAAATCTGTAAAATTTACACTTTTGATCGCTGTCCACACGGGTGATCTAGCAATGATACTTACTCCCTTTCTTAAAAAAAAATTAAAGAAAATTTTTTTCTAACGGGAAGTCGAGAGGACCGCTCTTAGCGAGATCGGCACTCTTATTTCCCTCTGATGCGCTTCCAAGACTGTCAAGGGGACAGTAAGCTCTCTGTTTCCAAGAAGAGCACCACAGGCTAATTTTTTGTAGGGTAATTTAGTATTATCGACTAAGTTGATAAAGTAAATTGGTCACCGTAAAGAGTTAAAAAGCTAATGTTTCGAGCGTTAGCCAATCGGTCCGACGAAGGGTTAACGCTTGAAACGTCAGCTTTTAAACACTTTGCGGTGACCAATTTACGTTATCAACTCAGTTAATAGTACTAAATTACCCTGCTACACTCTCCCACCGATGCAGCACCACAGCTTCTTTAGAAATTAGCCCCCTTAAGTTTCTTTTTAGTTGTTCTCTTATGTAGGGGTCAAGTTAAGGGCTGAGAAAATTTACAGTAATGCGAGAAATTAGAATTGCTTTCAGTCGCTGGGTAATTACTTTACCATTAGCGGTTAAAGACATTCCTTTTCCTAAACTCAGAGCCATTCTCGATTCAATCTTTTCAGGTATCTCTGAAAATCTCCATTTTATAATTGGCTTCGCTGCAACCCCAGTGTACCAAATTTTAGTGAGGAAGTCCGTTTGTACGAAGGTTTTATTTTTCGCAATTTCTCAATTAGAACTGTTTTATTACAGACCCCAGGGAAATCTCTCCGAATGTCCTGAGATCATCGTTGTTCGTCATAACAAGTTAACAGTAATGACTCTACAGCCGTTTACAAACGAACAGTTAAATTACTTCAAGTTCGCTTCTGTCGTGATCAATGAATTTCCAAGGCTATTACGTCAGGCCTTCAAAACTAGGTGGGACAACACCTTGAGACATCTTCCTGGTTTCCAGCCCTGGGATGACTCCGTTGCCGTGCGGAATCTGTTCCTTGCCACAGAGGGTGGATCAACTAAAGTCCCTACTAATCTTTCGTATGATTCGTGGGATTGTACTGCCTTGTTCCAAGCCACCATCTTCGCAAAGTCCTTTTCTATGCCAGACGGCAGAGGACATCAGAGAACACTCAGCTATTTGTTCGTGAGACCCCATGGACTCCCTCCCGGAAGTTTTCATGCTTCTGTGATCAGCTCAACTGGGAACGATGCTGAGTCATTTACTTTGGCTATCGATCAACTGCGACTTTTACGAAATGCGTTCTGCCACGCACCAAGCTCCGAGATCCGAAAAGCAACATTCGACATGTACATCCAACTAACCAAAGACGCGTTCCAAGCCCTTGGTGTCTCATCCAGCTGTGTGAATACAATTGGAAGTTTAACTGAGGCAGATTTCCCAATAGAAAAAGTCCGTAAGCTCGAGGATGAGATCAGAAAAGAGGGTCAGGCTGAAAATGTGTTCCTCAAAGACCGAGTAGAAAATAAGCTGATGGGTATGATGTCTGATATCGCAGAAGCAAACCAGGAGCGGCGGGATGAGGCAGAAGGGACAGTGACAGAGATAATAGAAGGGTTCCGACAGCTGAAAATGCAAAATGAAGAACAGAAAGAACAAACTTTGGAGTCAGTGGAAAGAGCTATCAGGTCTCATAATGCGCAATCGAAGCAAGCAAGAGAAGAAGAAACAGCACACGTAGCCAAAGAGAGGAAGGAGGACATTCAGCGGTTGGAGAATCAGTTTCAAAGGCACAATGAGGAAATGAGAAAGGAGGCGTTGGAGCTTAAAGAAACTATTAGGTCTAACATCGAGCAATCAAACCAAGCAAGAGAGAAAGATGCAGCATCAGCAGCTCAAGAAAGAAAAGAAGGGATTCAGGAGTTGAGGAAACAGTTGGAGTTGGCAACATCATCTGTACCCCAACACGAAATGAGTCAGAAACTTTCTGAATTGAACCAAAAGATTGATGACATCACCATAAAGACCACGAAACAAGGTAATAGGCCTGCTATTGTTTGTCTTAAAGACTACTTCTTTTCGCAGGAACAACAAGATAATGTTTTTTTGCGATTGTTATCTATTAAGGGGAGAACTACCAGATAGTCTTCAATAAAGCAGTCAGAAACTTTGAAGGCCACTCTTCCTATAACAATAAGTTTTGTTCATTAATGAAGCCAAACTTCTCACGTTAATTCTGAAATTATATTCAGAGGAGAATTTGTTTAGAAGTATTACGATACTAACCGCCGTAGAATACTGTACTTTGCATTTGCACATATGTTCATCTTCCGAACTAAAGTCTGTCATTTTGTCGCAGAGTTTAAGCCCACTCTACCAAAATCAAATCTTCCCTCAATGGTTCCTCACTTCACTGGGCGCGAGGAGGAATGCAACGACGTCATTGCTCACGTGACCAATGAAGCCACTCGCCTCGTTTCCATATGGGGCTCGCCAGGGTTCGGAAAAACGTCGACTGCAATCGCCATAGGACATCGCCTCCAAGCGCAAGGCCTGCCGGTATACTTTATTTCGTTACGTGGCCTAAGGTTAAAGAGTGATCTAACGTCGAGATTTCTTGGACTGTTTACGCATTCTACGACAGCATCCCAGCGTTTGACAGCAGATGACGAACTTTGCTCAATTTTGGCTCAAATTGCAAATCCCTTCGTTTTCATCCTTGATAATGCCGATGATCTTTTTGAAAGTGGCCTTCCGAACGTCAAAGAGGAAGTTGTTGATTTAATTGGAGAAATTCTCAATTGCAGCCATAAGGTAACGTTTCTTCTCACCACAAGGGAATCTTGTCAATTCTTAAATCTGCGCTTAAAAGGACACAATGCTTTAAGAATTAGAGAGCTGGATGAGCAATCCTCTTCAAAACTTGTTCAAGAACTGCTTCCAGAAGCGAGTAAGTCTGATTGTATAAACGTTAGGCAGATCTGCGGGAGTGTACCATTGGCCATGAAGTTGTTGTGTTCCTCCATTTCGGGGGATGCTACCGGAACATCAAGTGGGTCTGTTGACATGTTCTTGAGTACCACATATAACATTCTGGAAATGTTGGACAACCCAGACTATCCCAGCAATCAGAGGTTGAAGTATCTTTTTGACGCCTCTTTTCAGAGACTTTCCGTAAAGGAAAGAGAAGCACTGATCTCACTTTGCATTCTTCCCAACCACTTTGACCTACCTGTCGCATCAGCTGTGTTAGGAATGGAAACAATTCAAGCTGCTAGAATGCTGCAGATACTCCAGCGAAAATCCCTCATTGATTCTAGTTCCAAAGCCGAGAAATATTCCATCCATAAGCTGTTATTGTCATTTGTACAGGAAAAAGGGGAAAACGAAATGAAAGAAATGGTTCTCAACGCTAAAGTGCGATTTTTTGAACTGTATATTTCCCTCTTCGAGACGCTAACTGAAAAGTTCCTCACAGGACATTCCATGTCGGCTTTCCTTGAGTATTTTCAGAATGAGGAAAGTTTCGTTCAAAGTCTAATTGACGGTTGCCTGGAGGAAAGAACAGTCAGTAAAGTTTGCAATGTTTTAATCAAAGCTGAAATGTATCTCTGCTTTCTTTACTGGCATGATTACGCTATGGTTGACATCATTTACGAAACAGCAATGAAGGCAGCTAATGATCACCATCGGCTTAACTCTGTCAACAAACGACTGCTTCTGTCGAAAACGTACGGTAGCTTGCTTATGGGCGAAACTGAAGAAACGAAGAGGCTGCTTTCAGTGAATAAGCAAGTTACGTTGTCTACTGTCATCAAAGACACACAATTGCGAGGAGAACTTTTGACTTACCAAGGATTGTATAAACTTTTTACTGGGAGAGCTAAAGAAGGAGTGAGATATTTAAAAGAAGCACTTTCGTCATTGGAAACCACTCCAAAACACAGAATCCTAAAGCTCATTATTCTCCAAGTTCTTTCTCTTTATCAAAGTGCCAAAAAGAACCCGTTAAAGGCTCTTGACCTTTACAAAAAAGCAGTAGATGAATGCAAAGCAGTGGGAGACATGGGCTTAGTAGTAATTCAGGAGATCAATGAAACCAGGAGAGAAGAAGACAGGATACATCTAAACGAAATCAGACCGACCCATAATCAGCCACTTCAAACCGAACTTGTCATTCTCGTGAGTCAAGCAGTAAAGAACATCTCCACTGATAAAACCAAGCAATTCTTTTGCAATTTACTGCTGCAAATACTGACGGAGTCTGACTCTGCCATACCAGCTGGTGCAACTGGTCGGTTCCATTTTCCTTTATCTGGAGTAAGACTGTTCATCGAATTAAAAGGGAAAATGGACCGTGCAATTCATATAGAAGATATAGTGAATTTTCATCCCGAAAAGATCCAAACAAAACCTGAGAAAAACATTAGTGCAACTTCCTCAAATAACAGCAAACGCACGAAAGCCAACCACGTAGAAGCCTTGGAATCAGAGAAGCGTGCACTGAATATCAGGTTAAAAGTCCTGGGTGAAGAACATTCACAAACCGCTCACAGTTATGATTCATTAGGAGTTACTCAACATTCACTTGGAGACTTTGTGTCAGCCCTTGAGTCAAAGAAGCGTGCACTGAATATCCGGTTGAAAGTCCTAGGTGAAGAACATTCACAAACCGCTCACAGTTATGATTCATTAGGAGTTACTCAACATTCACTTGGAGACTTTGTGTCAGCCCTTGAGTCAAAGAAGCGTGCACTGAATATCCGGTTGAAAGTCCTAGGTGAAGAACATTCACAAACCGCTCACAGCTATCATTCATTAGGAGTTACTCAACATTCACTTGGAGACTTTGTGTCAGCCCTTGAGTCAAACAAGCGTGCACTAAATATCCGGTTGAAAGTCCTAGGTGAAGAACATTCACAAACCGCTCACAGCTATCATTCATTAGGAGTTACTCAACATTCACTTGGAGACTTTGTGTCAGCCCTTGAGTCAAACAAGCGTGCACTGATTATCAGCTTAAAAGTCCTGGGTGAAGAACATTCACAAACCGCTGACAGCTATCATTCATTAGGAGCTTCTCAACATTCACTTGGAGACTTTGTGTCAGCCCTTGAGTCAAACAAGCGTGCACTGAATATCAGGTTAAAAGTCCTGGGTGAAGAACATTCGCAAACCGCTCACAGCTATCATTCATTAGGAGTTACTCAACATTCACTTGGAGACTTTGTGTCAGCCCTTGAGTCAAAGAAGCGTGCACTGATTATCAGCTTAAAAGTTCTAGGTGAAGAACATTCACAAACCGCTCACAGTTATGATTCATTAGGAGTTACTCAACATTCACTTGGAGACTTTGTGTCAGCCCTTGAGTCAAAGAAGCGTGCACTGAATATCCGGTTGAAAGTCCTAGGTGAAGAACATTCACAAACCGCTCACAGCTATCATTCATTAGGAGCTACTCAACATTCACTTGGAGACTTTGTGTCAGCCCTTGAGTCAAACAAGCGTGCACTGAATATCCGGTTGAAAGTCCTAGGTGAAGAACATTCAACCACCGCTCACAGCTATCATTCATTAGGAGTTACTCAACATTCACTTGGAGACTTTGTGTCAGCCCTTGAGTCAAACAAGCGTGCACTGCATATCCGGTTGAAAGTCCTAGGTGAAGAACATTCACAAACCGCTGACAGCTATCATTCATTAGGAGCTTCTCAACATTCACTTGGAGACTTTGTGTCAGCCCTTGAGTCAAAGAAGCGTGCACTGATTATCAGCTTAAAAGTCCTGGGTGAAAAACATTCACAAACCGCTGACAGCTATCATTCATTAGGAGCTTCTCAACATTTACTTGGAGACTTTGTGTCAGCCCTTGAGTCAAACAAGCGTGCACTGAATATCAGGTTAAAAGTCCTGGGTGAAGAACATTCACAAACCGCTCACAGTTATGATTCATTAGGAGTTACTCAACATTCACTTGGAGACTTTGTGTCAGCCCTTGAGTCAAAGAAGCATGCACTGAATATCCGGTTGAAAGTCCTAGGTGAAAAACATTCACAAACCGCTCACAGCTATGATTCATTAGGAGTTACTCAACGTTCACTTGGAGACTTTGTGTCAGCCCTTGAGTCAAATAAGCGTGCACTGAATATCCGGTTGAAAGTCCTAGGTGAAGAACATTCACAAACCACTCACAGCTATCATTCATTAGGAGTTACTCAACCTTCACTTGGAGACTTTGTGTCAGCCCTTGAGTCAAACAAGCGTGCACTGAATATCCGGTTGAAAGTCCTAGGTGAAGAACATTTACAAACCGCTCACAGCTATCATTCATTAGGAGTTACTCAACATTCCCTTGGAGACTTTGTGTCAGCCCTTGAGTCAAAGAAGCGTGCACTGAATATCCGGTTGAAAGTCCTAGGTGAAGAACATTCACAAACCGCTCACAGCTATGATTCATTAGGAGTTACTCAACATTCACTTGGAGACTTTGTGTCAGCCCGTGAGTCAAAGAAGCGTGCACTAAATATCCGGTTGAAAGTCCTAGGTGAAGAACATTCACAAACCGCTCACAGCTATCATTCATTAGGAGTTACTCAACATTCACTTGGAGACTTTGTGTCAGCCCTTGAGTCAAACAAGCGTGCACTGATTATCAGCTTAAAAGTCCTGGGTGAAGAACATTCACAAACCGCTGACAGCTATCATTCATTAGGAGCTTCTCAACATTCACTTGGAGACTTTTGTGTCAGCCCTTGAGTCAAACAAGCGTGCACTGAATATCAGGTTAAAAGTCCTGGGTGAAGAACATTCACAAACCGCTCACAGTTATGATTCATTAGGAGTTACTCAACATTCACTTGGAGACTTTGTGTCAGCCCTTGAGTCAAAGAAGCGTGCACTGAATATCCGGTTAAAAGTCCTGGGTGAAGAACATTCACAAACCGCTCACAGTTATGATTCATTAGGAGTTACTCAACATTCACTTGGAGACTTTGTGTCAGCCCTTGAGTCAAAAAAGCGTGCACTGAATATCCGGTTGAAAGTCCTAGGTGAAGAACATTCACAAACCGCTCACAGCTATCATTCATTAGGAGTTACTCAACATTCACTTGGAGACTTTGTGTCAGCCCTTGAGTCAAACAAGCGTGCACTGATTATCAGCTTAAAAGTCCTGGGTGAAGAACATTCACAAACCGCTGACAGCTATCATTCATTAGGAGCTTCTCAACATTCACTTGGAGACTTTGTGTCAGCCCTTGAGTCAAACAAGCGTGCACTGAATATCAGGTTAAAAGTCCTGGGTGAAGAACATTCACAAACCGCTCACAGTTATGATTCATTAGGAGTTACTCAACATTCACTTGGAGACTTTGTGTCAGCCCTTGAGTCAAAGAAGCGTGCACTGAATATCAGGTTAAAAGTCCTGGGTGAAGAACATTCACAAACCGCTCACAGTTATGATTCATTAGGAGTTACTCAACATTCACTTGGAGACTTTGTGTCAGCCCTTGAGTCAAAAAAGCGTGCACTGAATATCCGGTTGAAAGTCCTAGGTGAAGAACATTCACAAACCGCTCACAGCTATCATTCATTAGGAGTTACTCAACATTCACTTGAAGACTTTGTGTCAGCCCTTGAGTCAAAGAAGCGTGCACTAAATATCCGGTTGAAAGTCCTAGGTGAAGAACATTCACAAACCGCTCACAGCTATCATTCATTAGGAGTTACTCAACATTCACTTGGAGACTTTGTGTCAGCCCTTGAGTCAAACAAGCATGCACTGATTATCAGCTTAAAAGTCCTGGGTGAAGAACATTCACAAACCGCTGACAGCTATGATTCATTAGGAGCTTCTCAACATTCACTTGGAGACTTTGTGTCAGCGCTTGAGTCAAAGAAGCGTGCACTGAATATCAGGTTAAAGGTCCTAGGTGAAGAACATTCACAAACCGCTGACAGCTATCATTTATTAGGAGTTACTCAACATTTACTTGGAGACTTTATATCCGCCCTTGAGTCTTTCAAGTGTGCACTGAATATCAGGTTAAAGGTCCTGGATGAAGAACATTCACAAACCGCTGACAGCTATTATTTATTAGGAGCTACTCAAGATTCACTTGGAGACTTTGTGTCAGCCCTTGAGTTAAAGAAGCGTGCACTGAATATCAGTTTAAAGGTCCTGGGTGAAGAACATTCACAAACCGCTGACCGCTATCAATCAGTAGGAGCTACTCAAGATTCACTTGGAGACTTTGTCTCAGCCCTTGAGTCTTTCAAGCGTGCACTGAATATCAGGTTAAAGGTCCTGGGGGAAGAACATTCACAAACCGCTGACAGCTATTATTCATTAGGAGCTACTCAACATTCACTTGGAGACTTTGTGTCAGCCCTTGAGTCAAAGAAGCGTGCACTGAATATCAGTTTAAAAGTCCTGGGTGAAGAACATTCAGAAACCGCTGACAGCTATCAATCAGTAGGAGCTACTCAAGATTCACTTGGAGACTTTGTGTCAGCCCTTGAGTCTTTCAAGCATGCACTGAATATCAGGTTAAAGGTCCTGGGGGAAGAACATTCACAAACTGCTGACACCTATTATTCATTAGGAGCTACTCAACATTCACATGGAGACTTTCTGTCAGCCCTTGAGTCAAAGAAGCGTGCACTGAATATCAGGCTAAAGGTCCTGGGTGAAGAACATTCACAAACCGCTGAAAGCTATCAATCAGTAGGAGCTACTCAAGATTCACTTCTAGACTTTCCGTCAGCCATTGAGTCTTTCAAGCGTGCACTGAATATCAGTTTAAAGGTCCTGGGGGAGGAACATTCACAAACTGCTGACAGTTATTATTCATTAGGAGCTACTCAAGATTCACTTGGAGACTTTGTGTCAGCCATTAAGTCTTTCAAGCGTGCACTGAATATCAGGTTAAAGGTCCTGGGTGAAGAACATTCACAAACCGCTGACAGCTACGATTCATTAGGAGCTACTCAACATTCACTTGGAGACTTTGTGTCTGCCCTTGAGTCTGCCAAGCGTGCTCTGAATATCAGGTTAAAGGTCCTGGGTGAAGAACATTCACAAACTGCTGACAGCTATCATTTATTAGGAGCTACTCAACATTCACTTGGAGACTTTGTGTCAGCCCTTGAGTCAAACAAGCAAGCACTAACTATCAACTTAAAAACCCTGGGTGAAGAACATTCACAAACCGCTGACAGCTATCATTTATTAGGAGCTACTCAATATTCACTTGGAGACTTTGCATCAGCCCTTGAGTCAAACAAGCGTGCACTGAATATCAGCTTAAAAGTCCTGGGTGAGGAACATTCACAAACCGCTCACAGCTATCATTCATTAGGAGCTTCTCAATATTCACTTGGAGACTTTGTGTCAGCCCTTGAGTCAGACAAGCGTGCACTGAATATCAGGTTAAAGGTTCTGGGTGAAGAAGATTTACAAACCGCTCACAGCTATCATTCATTAGGAGTTACTCAACATTCACTTGGAGACTTTATGTCCGCCCTTGAGTCTTTCAAGCGTGCACTGAATATCAGGTTAAAGGTCCTGGATGAAGAACATTCACAAACCGCTGACAGCTATTATTTATTAGGAGCTACTCAAGATTCACTTGGAGACTTTGTGTCAGCCCTTGAGTCAAAGAAGCGTGCACTGAATATCAGTTTAAAGGTCCTGGGTGAAGAACATTCACAAACTGCTGACAGCTATCAATCAGTAGGAGCTACTCAAGATTCACTTGGAGACTTTGTGTCAGCCATTGAGTCTTTCAAGCGTGCATTGAATATCAGGTTAAAGGTCCTGGGGGAAGAACATTCACAAACTGCTGACAGCTATGATGCATTAGGAGCTACTCAACATTCACTTGGAGACTTTGTGTCAGCCCTCAAGTCTTTCAAGCGTGCACTGAATATCAGGTTAAAGGTCCTAGGTGAAGAACATTCACAAACCGCTGATAGCTATGATTCATTAGGAGCTACTCAAGATTCACTTGGAGACTTTCTGTCAGCCCTTGAGTCTTTCAAGCGTGCACTGAATATCAGGTTAAAGGTCCTGGGTGAAGAACATTCACAAACCGCTTACAGCTATTATTCATTAGGAGCTACTCAACATTCACTTGGAGACTTTGTGTCAGCCCTTGAGTCAAAGAAGCGTGCACTGAATATCAGGTTAAAGGTCCTGGGTGAAGAACATTCACAAACCGCCGACAGCTATCAATCAGTAGGAGCTACTCAAGATTCACTTGTAGACTTTGTGTCAGCCATTGAGTCTTTCAAGCGTGCACTGAATATCAGGTTAAAGGTCCTGGGGGAAGAACATTCACAAACCGCTGACAGTTATTATTCATTAGGAGCTACTCAAGACTCACTTGGAGACTTTGTGTCAGGCATTGAGTCTTTCAAGCGTGCACTGAATATCAGGTTAAAGGTCCTGGGTGAAGAACATTCACAAACCGCTGACAGCTATCATTCATTAGGAGCTACTCAACATTCACATGGAGACTTTGTGTCAGCCCTTGAGTCTTTCAAGCGTGCACTGAATATCAGGTTAAAGGTCCTGGGTGAAGAACATTCACAAACCGCTGACAGCTATGATTCATTAGGAGCTACTCAAGATTCACTTGGAGACTTTGTGTCAGCCCTTGAGTCTCTCAAGCGTGCACTGAATATCAGGTTAAAGGTCCTGGGTGAAGAACATTCACAAACCGCTGACAGCTATTATTCATTAGGAGCTACTCAACATTCACTTGGAGACTTTGTGGCAGCCCTTGAGTCAAAGAAGCGTGCACTGAATATCAGGTTAGAGGTCCTGGGTGAAGAACATTCACAAACCGCTGACAGCTATTATTCATTAGGAGCTACTCAACATTCACTTGGAGACTTTGTGGCAGCCCTTGAGTCAAAGAAGCGTGCACTGAATATCAGGTTAATGGTCCTGGGTGAAGAACATTCACAAACCGCCGACAGCTATCAATCAGTAGGAGCTACTCAAGATTCACTTGGAGACTTTTTGTCAGCCAATGAGTCTTTCAAGCGTGCACTGAATATCAGGTTAAAGGTCCTGGGTGAAGAACATTCACAAACAGCTGACAGCTATGATTCATTAGGAGCTACTCAACATTCACTTGGAGACTTTGTGTTTGCCCTTGAGTCTGCCAAGCGTGCACTGAATATCAGGTTAAAGGTTCTGGGTGAAGAACATTCACAAACTGCTGACAGCTATCATTTATTAGGAGCTACTCAACATTCACTTGGAGACTTTGTGTCAGCCCTTGAGTCAAACAAGCAAGCACTAACTATCAACTTAAAAACCCTGGGTGAAGAACATTTACAAACCGCTGACAGCTATCATTTATTAGGAGCTACTCAACATTCACTTGGAGACTTTGTGTCAGCCATTGAGTCTTTCAAGTGTGCACTGAATATCAGGCTAAAGGTCCTGGGTGAAGAACATTCACAAACCGCTGACAGCTATGATTCATTAGGAGCTTCTCAACATTCACTTGGAGACTTTGTGTCAGCCCTTGAGTCTTTCAAGCGTGCACTGAATATCAGGTTAAAGGCCCTGGGTGAAGAACATTCACAAACCGCTGACAGCTATGATTCATTAGGAGTTACTCAACATTCACTTGGAGACTTTATGTCCGCCCTTGAGTCTTTCAAGCGTGCACTGAATATCAGGTTAAAGGTCCTGGGTGAAGAACATTCACAAACCGCTGACAGCTATTATTCATTAGGAGCTACTCATGATTCACTTGGAGACTTTGTGTCAGCCCTTGAGTCAAAGAAGCGTGCACTGAATATCAGTTTAAAGGTCCTGGGTGAAGAACATTCGCAAACTGCTGACAGCTATCAATCAGTAGGAGCTACTCAAGATTCACTTGGAGACTTTGTGTCAGCCCTTGAGTCTTTCAAGCGTGCACTGAATATCAGGTTAAAGGTCCTGGGTGAAGAACATTCACAAACCGCTGACAGCTATGATTCATTAGGAGCTACTCAAGATTCACTTGGAGACTTTGTGTCAGCCCTTGAGTCAAAGAAGCGTGCACTGAATATCAGATTAAAGGTCCTGGGTGAAGAACATTCACAAACTGCTGACAGCTATCAATCAGTAGGAGCTACTCAACATTCACTGGGAGACTTTGTGTCAGCTCTTGAGTCAAACAAGTGTGCACTTGATATCAGGATGAAGGTGCATGGTGAAGAGGATCCACGAACTGTTAACAGCCTCGATATGGTGAAGGAGTTGGAAAAGTTGTTGTGAAGGAATTCATGATGAAAGGAGAGAGAGGGGAACATAACAATTTAGTATTTTGATAAAAGTCATTTATATATTCACAGTAACATGAAGAGATCCTGGTGTAGATAATTTTTTTAGAAGATAATAGTTGAAAATTTATATTACGATGCAGCAAGACCTTAAAAAGTCTTTTAAAAGAAATAACCAAAGGAAAGGATAGGACTCGTCATTTTCAAAACGCAGCAGTGAAAAGTAAAGGAAAGACACAAAGCTAAAACGTTATATACATTATTAAGTTGTCATCATGGAAATTCTTTTACGTGCCCTTTTTTTTTCTTCTTAGAGACTGTTGGTACATTTTTGAGTTTTTAGGATTTTTTGCGAAAAGACATATTTATAGTTTATAATATAAATTTGCTCTGTTGGCTCACGACAAAGTCAATAAATGTAGGTCGCGACATTTCGACTGCTTACTGCAAGTCTTTTTCAGGCGATGGGGTCGACTGGTTCCAGTACAGCATTATGTATCATGGTGGCCTGCTGCGATTGGTACATTTCGATCCGGCTATCGTTTTCGTGTACCATGGTTTCCTCGGGCGTTCGCTAATTTGCCGTGCATCGTTGGCTTTGATGTTTTCTATTTGTCGGCATCCACGCTTCCGGCACTTCGGCTTCGTTGTCCCTGTTTATGTTTTTTGGGTTATCTCTTGCCTCTTTCACTTTCCTTGTGTACCAATGGTTGTTTCGGTCAATAAACTTTATTTCGTTCCACAGCGGCTCGTGTCCGGTTCCGTTAGCGTGTTCTGAAACCGCGGAATTCATGCGAGTGCGTGCGAGTCGTATGTCCCTGTCGTGTTCTTTCATTCTTTCTTGCATGGGTCGTCCTGTTTCTCCAATGTAGACTTTGCCGCATGCGCAAGAAGCGAATCTTTAAGTTGATTGTATACCTCAGACTCGAATTGAATGATTAAGTGAGTTTGTTAGTGGAGAGATTTCCTATCGGAAAGAGTTTTCTAAAGAGACACAATTTACCTTTTAGCCCCTCTTGACAAAGCTCTTCCTAACGACTAAAGAAACTTGATGATTTTATTTAACCTGACAAAAATAGTTTCGATGGGGATATACGTACCAAAACAGGATTTCCCGCTTGTGGTAAAATCATAACCAAAATTTGAGACTTAGTCTTATTCTTTTTTTTTCAATTTGAAATATATTTTTGTAAATGAATGGTCTTCGCAATTAGAAATTGCTGAGCCAGACACTTTAAATCTTTGTTCAATTAAACGCATTGTTATGGAAAACTTTTTATCCTTAATTTTCCTGGTTGTTTTGTTTGTAATTCGATGACTACGTCATAGATCTTCTATTTGCAACACGTGATCAAAGTGAGAGAGCCAATGAAGTTGCCGTATTGTCCACAGTAGCTACCATAGCAACCAATAGAACTGCTTCCAAATTTGGCCGAGTTCACAAACTGTGAATGGGACGAGTTCAAATACAATGACTTGAGATGCCCCTCGTGGCGTCGAAATCCTCGTGGGCAGCGGCCATTTGCCAAGATGCAGAATTTACCTTCGGGCCACTCTGTAGAAAGAACAATATGTATGTTTCGTAAGGGAACGATCATCATTTCTCACCTAGGGGGGGAGAGGTGGTGATACAGTTTGTGTCACGATAAAATTTACCTGATCCCTCGTAGAGCATACAGCTCTGTAGGATTCTTATAAACCGCTCATTGATTGGAAGCTAATTGGTAGTCAATTTTTTGTAGTCCCCCTTTTGTACTCTGTTGGTGAAGACTGATACTCCTGGGTTTCGCCTTAAAACTACGTGATTCTACCAAAATTCCCCACCCCTCCTCTCCGGCGATTGAAAATGACTGGTCTCTGAAGTGTTCTCAGTTTCAAGAAAACGTGTGGTCCCGAATATTTTCAAACTATTGCGCAATACAAAATTTTTTATTGGGGAGGGGAGGTAAGGGTGTGTATACAACTTTTTCCAAAGATTATACAATCAATTTGAACAACTTTCGTGAATATTTTGAGGAATAACTGAGTCTATGAAACAGAATGAATATATTCTTACTCTCCTTGAGCGATGCACTTTCTTCTTGGGCATAACTTAAAGAAACTTTTAAAGTTTTAACCTCCTGTTCTAACTTGTCAATTTTCTCGGTGAGTTTTCTCTCCAAGTCTTCTATGTCATCCTGGGTTTGCCCTGTTTTCTCTTTTAGGCTTTTGAAATGTTTGTTAAATGTGATGGTTGTCTCTGACCATACTGCTGCCAGCTCGTTAACATGGCCAACTGTTTTATTCAACTTCTTTGTTACATTTTGAATCTGCTTGGTATGATTAGCGAACTTGTCAAATATTTGTTTAAACTCCTCCTCATTGCCTGTTCCTTTGACAGCTGTAGAGGCTTGATTGTTGAGATTTTCTGTGATTGCTGACAGGGCTTTGACCAGGCTAGTCACAGTTTCAAGATTGTTTGAAAGCGCGTTAATTTGATAAAAAATGTAATGTTGTAAGCGTTCATTATACAATCTGGAACCCGGACCGTGGAACCTGGATTCGGGGAACTTACGCATGGGTAAAAGACCTCATGGGGTAAAACAAAGGTGGATATTTACCCGACTGTGAAGCGGTCAGGTAAATATCTACTATACAGACTGTTTTGGTACATAACACACATTGGCTTATTTGTTCCCATGAAAAGCAAAAAAAAAAAAAAGAGAAATTTAGAAAAAAAAATTAAAGTAAATTTCCATCATATTTCAGAAGACAAAAAGGGAGATAAGATTTGCAGCTCAAATGTTGATATCACATCGCCTGGTTTTTTGACGATTTTTGACCTTGACTAATCAATAAATGAGGGATTCAAACTATATGGAATTTCTGTGTTGAGTGCCTTGTTTATCTGCCAGTTGTTCTAATAAAAAAACATTTTTCATACCTAGTTTGTCTAGTGATAAAAAACGATAAAAAAAGGTCACTGATTACCAAGTTTCATGGCCGGCACAATTTATCAAACAAATTTTAACTTTTGGTGTCTATATGCCTTGAACACAATTCAAAACTAGTCAAGATTAGAGTGTTGTAACTGTGTTATTAGACTACTCAAATATTAACATGATGTGGTAATATTGTCCTCAGTGATTGATTTTGATGAGTTTGGCTTTAACTTTACCACAATCAACACTTTATCTCCTCCGTGTCAAACGCCACTGGAGCTGCCTCAACCCTTTACACCCTAACATCATTATGCATATTCTCCATACTGTTCTCTATACATTTCCTAAGAGGCTGACAAGGAGAATTTGTTTAATAATCAAGAGCTTCTTTAGTTGCTGATCATTTCCTTTATTCTCATGACTTAAACATTTGATTCAAGGCATAGATTGTAAAGAGAAATTAGAACCTTGTCACTCTTAGGGATTATAGGGTTAAAGCGCCACAAGATTTGTTTTGGTTTATTTGTACTAGGCGGCCATCTCGATTGCTCGCGTCCACGGTCCTATAGTAAACATAGTCATCCTCTACATTGTATAGAATTCTTTACATATATCTACCATTTGAAAGTAAATATGGCTTAGAAAGAGAAGTCAGTCGAAACACCAGTGGTTGGATAACTGTTGCTTATCTTCAAAAGAAGTAATAACCATTGTGTACTTTCGACATAATCGATGCGTGACGTATAACGTCTGCTACACGGTAGATATGTCACGTGCGCGTTTTTGAAAGGCTCGAAGTTATAGGCGAAGTGAGTTTCTCGCGTGGATTTCATTAGCTAAACGCGACGCATGAATCATCAGCGTATGTATTTGAGCCTGTTTGATGAGAATGCATTTTATCACTGATTTCTTAGCATGATTAAATTTCAGAGGCGCACTGCCGAGGAAAAGAACTGCTTGTATCCTGTGGAAATAGCATTGTGTAAAAATTATGTGCAGTGGTGCACGGTGCATTTTATGGCTGATTTCTTGGCTTAACTAATTTTCACTCGCGTGCCATCGAGGAAAAGAACTGCCTGTATCCTACTCGCGAGCGAGGAGAGCGTTGGGCCCTCGTTCCTCGCCTCTTGACTTGCGTTTTTCCTGCGACTGGTGCAAAAAATACGAGAAAATAAAAGAATTAGAATCACCCCGGGGAAGCATAATTTATTCATCATGATGGGAAACAAACGTTTAAATACAACTAAGGGGTGTCAAAATGCATGCACCAATGACAGCTTTCCCCTTTATCCCATTATGCAACATAAGTGTTAACGTGTAAACGTGTAATCATTCGACCTCATCGCCTGACTAAACCGACGTCTAGCAGCGCGTCACGATCTGTAATTCACAGTTTGATTCTATAATCAATGATAACTATAAACTGTAAGAAAAAAGATTTACCATTCATTTATCGAGTTTATCCTTTTCGGTCTCAAAAAGTCCGTGTTCAAATGTGAGCGTCGGCTGTACGAAGGATAACTATTTAGAAAGGTCAAGCCCTGGGCTGAATCTGACCATAATTATCATGGCTATAGTCCAAAATTTGCGCAACATGGAAAGGGCTCTTGACGGGAACAACAACAAAATTTGATATACCTGATTACTTTATTTGTCATGTAAAATAAGATACTAAGTCACGAGAAAAACCTTGTGACCTCTGTCTGCGTATATTCGAATGCCACAGGCATCGGTCATAAGATTAAAATATCGTTTGTTCTCGAATACAAAGCAGGCAGCTTTCGCTTCATCCCATCAGGCGGTGGTTTCTGCTTCGTATTTAAAGTATTTGACTCGTTACCAAGACTCAGAGATTTCTTTAGTTCCGAACGACTGCGGAATCTTAATTGTAAAGGTGAGTAAATACATTCCCTTTTGTTGCCTGTGACTTGCCCAATCAGAACAGTAAATTGATAAACCGACTATTTCCCCTCGCTCGCCATGCGGCGTATTCAGCTTAAATATTGTAAGTTAATTAGGAGATGCGCCTAATTATCAACGACCTGAGAGACGAAGAGAAGTATTCTTCTACATCTAAGGCCAAAAATAAAAGTCAATCGTTAACATTTTATTTCAAGTAGCCAGACGATTTACTTTTATCTTGAAAGGGGGGGGATGAGGTATTTCCTAAAATGACTCAGATGGGGAGGCTCCGCCCATTAGATGGACCTTTTCCAGGCTTCAGATTTTTTTAAGGATCGTAGTCTGTCGGTTTGATATTAAAAGTAGGCTTAAAAGGGGCACAAATGCTTTTTGGAAAGTGTATGAAACGGATGCCTTTTCTACAGTTGTAAAAGTGAGTAACGGGTCGGACTTCGACGGGAACCTTCTCATCTAGAACTTCTCGGAACACCCCCTGGTTTTGATACCGCCGAGAGCAGTTTCCTGGCGGCACTGCATCCTTATCACTTTTTTCCTCAAACATTTTACATTGTCATTGTAGCCAGACCCTGCCACACACAAGAGAAGAATTAATTCTCGCTGGCAATCTTTCACTTCGACAAAAGCTAGAGAAGGTCAATGCTGTCCAAACATATAAAACGTTTGAGAACTGTTGGACAGTAAAGTGGAGTTTACCCGTATAGAACGTTTATTTCGTCGGTAACCTACCCCTTCCCTCGGTCGTCGATGCCAAAAGTAACCTTTACTGAGCCTAAGCTTTAAAAAATTTTGCTTCTGACACTAATACGCTGTTGTTTCACTCTTTCGTAGGGGAAACTGTTGTAAACGAGAGAAGTTCACTTCGATTTAGACAAGAAAAGGTGAGACATCTCTGCGCTTTATTTGGGAAACATATTTGCACGTTTGTCGGATAATACTGTAAAAACTGCTGTTGGAAATTAATAGGATTTGAGAAGGGAACGAGTCGACGGTATGCCCGAAAGTAGTGGAAGCAGCTCGAACGAGAACTTTCAAATAATTTATCAGCTGAAATGGAGCCTGTCCGCCCATAGGGGAGTTTAAAATGTTCGCGATTGGGCAATAGTTGATTTATTTTGATTCAACCAAACTTTTTCGTCCTAAAGTTAATCTTGACATTCTACACCGACAGGCGGAAAGAGGATATAATCACTTGTTTATTTGATCTGTCAATACCATACTCTGACTGACTCTTAATTTATTAGAACTGTTTTGTTTCCTCAAATTAACAGCTAAAGACTCAAGTGGTTGAAAACTATCAGTTATTAATTTTTTTTTTCTCATGCATGTTTCCATGATATTACTCGACGAACTGTACGCAAATATGGAAACCAAAAGTTAAGGGTTGTGTGGACGAAAAAGGGATTGAGGCGAAACAAAAGAAAGACACTGGCTCGTCCCAGTCTTACGCTTAATATATTTCAACGTTTAATAGTCAGCAAAGGTTATCGTATTCTACATATTCTACATTCAAGACACCCGATTCGCTCGTAATTAACCGCTTATATGCGGATTTAATTAGTATCAAATTAACGCATACAAGCGGTCAAAGTAGGGCCTATTTACCTATCGTGAACCTGTGACGTATGGGATTAAATATTAACGCCCTGCTCAGCACGCTTCGCTGACCCCATTGCTTGGTCTTTATATCCCTGCACAACGTGGATCATTAGGTTATTGCGCGTCTGACCTTTTTACTTTACAATGGAAAGGCAGTCCCGATTAGTTTATTTCTGAAGAACAAAAGGAAGTGCTGACCACGTTTTTCAACGAGGGAATGACTTCCACCAAGAAAGCGATGTGCGACAAAATTCGTGCATGTGCCACAAGAGTCGGCATTTCAGAAGACCAAGTGAAGGTAGTTTAAGCTCTCACGGCCTTGATTAACATTCATTTTATCCCAGGCACCAGGATAATTAATTTCCTGCACTAAATTTCATGTATGTATGTTGTTAAGAGTTTCAGGCCATTTGAAGTTAGTGTAATTTAATTTTTCTGATCTTTTGACCTATTCTGTTACAAACCACGTTGATTTAATTGCGATCTGAGGACATCTTTCGAGCATTTTTCTAATTTTATTACACACAGGCTTTATATGAAGTTACAGTGTAAGGTTTTCGCCGGCCAGTTTAGTCCTAATTCTGCGTTGTCCATAGCTATAGCCTTTCACAAATGATGTGAAAGCCGGTTGATGTCGAAAGAAATTAAATGAAGCATGTGTTTTACTTTCTCTCCATCTAAATAGAAATAACACGGAACGACGAGAAACCACAAAACGATCTTAAACCACCTAAAAGCATTTTAAACTACCTGAAACCACCTAAAACCAGACAAACCATCTTAAACCACGTAAAACCATCTAAAACTACCTACGATCGCCAAGAGAGTTCTCTGAATACCGCATTGATAGTTTGCTCCTCTGGAGACCTCTGTAATCAATTTCAATTTTTGGGACCGCTTCACACGTTTCGTACCGCTTTCTTGTACTGAATGAAAGTTCTCTTACTTCACATGAAAATGTAATTAACTGGGTGCCATTGTTAGACATTTGTTGATACATTTGTGCAATTTTGTCCTCTTTTACTCAAGTTGTCAATTGAAAAATGAGATCGACTGTAATTTAGTTTTCCATAAGGAAATTATAGGAACAATGATGGCCTTTCTAACTCCTATTTGTCGAGCACAATGATAGTCTGAATCATTCATTTACAGCTGGCCTCTTAAACCAGCCTACTATCTACATCTCGAGCTGAGATAATATTTCTTTGATTTTTGGTGGTTTTAGATGGTTGCACTGAGGTAGTTTTAGGTGGTTGTACTGAGGTGGTTTTAGATGGTTGTACTGAGGTAGTTTTAGTTGGTTGTACTGAGGTGGTTTTTAGATGGTTGTACTAAGGTAGTTTTAGGTGGTTGTACTGAGGTGGTTTTTAGATGGTTGCAATTAGGTAGTTTTAGTTGGTTGTGCAGAGGTGGTTTTAGATGGTTGCACTGAGGTAGTTTTAGATGGTTTAAGATGGTTTGCTTGTAGATTGTTTAAGATGGTTTGCTTGTAGATTGTTTAAGATGGTTTAAGATGGTTTAAGATGGTTTAGGGCCTGGTTACATAAGGGTGGGGGACCCTTGGTAGTTGAGGTAACCTGCCTACCTGTGGTTGAGAAATAGCCTGTGTTAATGTACAATCTTACAACCTCAGGAACTCTAGCAACCCCAGCAAGATACATTGACCCACCTTGGGATTTTTACAAGGCAAATTGCCATCCCTGTAGGGAGACATTCTCCTAAGCAGGTCACCCTGCCTATCATGTAAACATGATCAAGATAAAGTAAGAGATTATATGGATAGGCAGGTTACCTCACCTAAGTGGAGTCCCCCAACCTTCATGTAAACAGGCCCCTAGGATAGTTTTAAGATGGTTTCAGTTGCTTGTACATGGCTTTAGATGGTTTTAGGTGGTTGTAGATGGTCTGAATCAGTTGTAGATCAGGTTTTAGTTGGTTGTGGATGGTTTGAGTTAGTTGCAGATGGTTTGAGGTGGTTGTAGATGGTTTGAGTTGGTTGTAGATGGCTTGAGTTGATTGTAGATGGATACAGATGCTTCCAGATGGTTTCAAATGGTTACAGATCATTCTAGATGTTTTAAGAAGGTTATAAATGGTTCCAGATAGTTTAAGATGGTTCTGAATGGTTTTAGTAGATTCAAAATGGTTGCCAATTTTTTTTACATAGGTCAAATGATTTAAGATGGGTTTATATGGTTTTAGATGGTTTCAAATGGTTTAAGATTACTTTGGATCCTTTTAGTTTGTTTTCAGGCGTACATATTGGTTTTAGTTTGTGTTAAGGGGGTTTTTGGTCAGGCCATGCTGTAGTATTTCCCTTTCTTTGCACCTTATGTGTTACCTACAGAAGTTTTGTCTTATATATTAATACAGTAAAACCCAATTGAACTAAGTGTTTTGAATAAGGTACTACATACGAGGATGTTAACGCAGAAGGTCATATTCACAGTTGACTTCTGATAACTTTCAAATGTTATTCGAGCCAGCAACTAGCAAATGAAACAAAAGTCATTGAGGTGCTTTAGATTTACATGTTTTTTATTCATTTGCTATCGCTATTTTTTCCCTCGCTCTCTCCCTCCCTCTCCTCTCTCTGTGTCTCTCTATCTTTCAATTTGTTTTTATTTGTTATTTTGCATCTTTTTCAGTATTTTAAGATAGACAAAATTGATGTGGTATTTGTACCACACAATATAGATACAAAAAGAAATACTTTGAAAGAGATCTTGAAGAAGCTCAGAACTTTAATTTTATGGGACTGCATGCACAGACCTCTCCTCCCAGACTTTGCAAATTAGAGCATATAATAACAGTTTCCTTTTTTCAATAGCCTTTTTAGCTACTGTACAATGTCATCTAACTGTTTTAAGTCATATTAATGTGATAAAGTAACTGGAAAATATATTTTTCCAATTGAATAAAGAGAGAAAGTTTCTAAAGAACCTGTGGTGCTGCATTTGTGGGGAAATATAGCAAGAAAATTCTGTTTTATTTACTGAGTTGATAATATGAATTTACCATCATAAAGTGTTTCAAAGTTGACTTTTTGAGTGTCAGCCCTAAAGTAGCTGTAACTGCATGTGAGTTGTCAGTGACAGTTAGTTCAAAGTTTTCTTGTTTGTCAAACTGCTAAACCAGTTAGAATTTTACTTTTCTTGGTTCTTTCTTTTAGTGTGAAACATTACTTTTTTTTCTGGTCAGCACTGGATAAACAACCACAATGCGAAGTGTAGTAGTGGTTCCAGAGTGCTTGATGGACAAAAGAGGACAGAAAAGAAACTAGTGAGGAAACAAAGTGGCTTTAATGCTTTCACAAGGGAGTTTCTCCACAAAGGTAGTCATTCTTGATCTAGCTAAATTTGTGCTTTACATCTACCTTTTTAGTTGAAAAATGCATCATGCCCTTTTATTCCACAGAACAAACTGGTGGAAGTGCAGAGGTCTTTCGCACCATCGGAGAAAAGTGGAGGAACTTGTCTGACTCAGATAGAGATGCCTACAAAAAGGTGGCAACAGATTCAGGGTCAGCTCTGTCACTACCCTCAGCTGATAAACAAGCCAAGAAGATAATTGGCAACATCATGAAACAGGTCAGCTAGTAATAATCATAGTCATTATCATCATCATTATTACAAACTTACAATGATATTTATCACATTTTGTGATGTGAACTTTGTGGTTTATAAATGACCAAGTTCAACTCACCAAGCTGTATAAAGACTGGATTGACAAGTTCTTGAAATGATATACCCAATACATTTACTGACCTTATGATTTTGTTTAATTTGTAAACTGGTCTTAAATTGTGCTATAATAGCAAACAAGCATTTCGTATTGAATTTTTCTGTTCGACATTGATTTTAATTGATCAGCATTAATTTATCAGTTTACTTATTGTTACATTTATATTACTGGTAGATTGACTGTTGTGAAATAAAATTATGATATTTATCTGTGTGGATTGTAATTCGTCCCCTTTCTTATAATTTTACAGTTGGTCACCAGGTGTCTCAGCAAGCTCTTAATAAACAATGAAAGTTATTCTTAAACTTACTCATAATTACCTGTTTTAAATATCTTACTTTTTAGGTTTTTTCTTTTCCTTGATTTACACAACTTTCTAAGTATGCAAGCTCAGTAATTTTCATGTAATTAAATGTTTGTCACCATGCACTCCCATCATGGGATACAACTTTAATCCAGCACTAAACAAACTGACATTGCTTAAGTAATGAGTATATATGTTATCACACTTATTTGGTTCTTCTAATTGTTATCAATCCTTATCAATGTTTTACACAGGTTGCAGAACTGGAAACACTTGGTGGTCATGCACTGATGTTATGTGCTTATGATGGTGTTTGTTACCAAGGTTCAGCTGGGATTGGTGACAGCCTTTTAAAAACAAACATCATGGAAACATTTGCAAGTAGATTACACTGTGAGTACTGACTGTAGATATGCATTAATTAGCACTTTACTCTTGATATATACTTTCAGAAGCTCATTCTAATTTTACTTGTGATGTTGAAATCTTTCTGCAGATTTTTGCGCTTGAGAATTTGTGAATTGGATTTTTCCATACATGAGTTGATGAAAAAAAAGAAAAACAATTAGTAAAACCAATTACCTGTTAATTCCAATTTGCATTTCATTCCTGCACTCAAAACATAAACAGAACCTCAAAAAAAGGTTATTGAGAGCAGTAGTCCTGGTACTCAATTTCTGTTACTCTAAGTGTACATCTATGTTCTTAAATATCAGTATAATCTCAATATATTAAAACAATAAATGAATCCCAATGAAATTCACTACATTGATGCTTAGATCAACAACTTATTACACCAAGCTTCTCGTTTCTTAAGAACTTAGAAAAGAAAGCATTATATTTCCAGTGAAAATAGGTCCTTACTTTATAGGTAATTCCCTGGTGGAAAAGCAAGACGTGTCAGTAAAACATCTACAAGAAGTGTTCAACTTCAAATACAGTATGCGTTTTTATAGCATATATTTGCCTTTATCCATGCACGTGCGGATTAAGGTCTTCGAAGATCTAGCTGATGTTCCTCTAAATTATTGAAAAATATATTTGTTTTCTCTTTCCACTGAAATGACCGCATTCAGTTTCAGTTGACCCATGATTGAAAACTACATCTCCATAAACTACTATTTGAAGCATTTAAGGGGTCAATAGCTGTTTTACACTCAGCTTCTGCCTTTTCTTGTGATTTGTTGCAATACGAAAAAAAGTCAGTCTTCTTTCCCAATATAAATTTTATTTCTGCTTTTAATGTATTGATGTGGTAATTCCCTTTATCTATGGCTATAATTTCTGTATAAGTGTCATATTCAACGTAACAAGGAGTGACTTTTAGCTTCGTTTTTTTTTTTTCCAGTCAATTTCTGTCTTTGTCTTTTGTAGGTGAACTTGTCGGAAACAGAGGAAGTAAAATGCCTTACGCTAAGATACAGCAATTGGGAATTTCATTTAATAACCTTCCCTTGGATTTAAAGAAAGAGATTGGTGTTATTCCGCGTAAACCGTCTCTTTACGGAAGCGGCCAGCGCCGAAAGCTGTGGCTCGCCCGTCATGACTGGAGCTTTGGTATTTCTTTGCCTGTACCCTCCATGGATAGTTGCACGACCCCTTCAGCCACCACTCACACATCAACTTCTCCTACGCCCACTCCTTCCCTTGTTAATTCGTCGACCTCCTGTTAATTAGTACTCCCGGTTTAAGTTAAAAACCACTGCTATTCACAACCGTAACAATACCAACTCATAACAAACTAACTACTAATTGAACTTACAAAACACCTCAGTCGAAAAGATGAAATTTACACAACATACCATACATTCTTCCTTCACTTTGACACAACCTCATCACACACAAGTTCTTTAAGTGTTTATCAGTCATCTGCAACCAGAGCCACAGTGAGTGTTGACCACTGTACTTCCCGCGCATCCATTGTTCTTGGTACTCCTTCCTAATCTCAACGCAGCACTTCCTCTGCTGCTGGTTTTATCGTTTCCAAAGGTGAGCAAGTTTTTTATCTCTGATTTTGTAAAGTTCAGTGTTAAGCGTGTTTACCACTCAAAGTGACGGGCTTATTACGTGTGAAAAGGAATTAGGAATTTCCATGAAACAAAGTGATCATGCTGAAATGAAAGACTAGTGTACTATTTGGTCTCCTAAGTATTTAACACCAACGTTATTTACTTTGTAACCCTTTTTACGCAGATACTAATTTGGAATGCTGTTACCAAGCACGGCCTGAGAAATACGTGTGGTTTTTGTTCTTCCACCACGAACACACATTCATGGGAGCACAGTGAATCCGGGAAACTTTGTGGTTGAATGGTGCATTCTATGACGGAGAATCGATTTTTGTCGGTGGTTTTATGAATGGCCTTTAGAGCCGGCAACCTATTTTCACTCGACTTACTGAAGTTTACTTCTTCAGGCTGACCTCCCTGTGAAGGCGCCATAACCTTTTGGAACTGTGCACAATAAATTGTAACGTGGTTTTGGCAAATAAATCTCTTAATTTTTATTTTTTGTTTGTGTGTTTGTTTGCTTTTTCTATGTTTATTTGGTTAATTTCTTGGCAATAAAAGGAAAAAGCACTGTCCATCGAGCATGGCATATCCGATGTTTATCGCATAGTTTCCTAACAAGTTTGATGATAAATTTTCACGCACTCTAAACTGAACTTGCTGGAAACGTACAAACGGGGGGAATTAACTCGGCAGAAACCACTCGGCTAATGAGAACGGAAACTCGTCGCGATTTCCTGGCACACAGCGATCTACTTCGAGTGAACTTGTACGGACGTCAAGAAAGAGATAGCGTTTGGTTCCACAGTATATTTTTATTCGTAGAGCGCTCTAACATACACCATGCTAGAGTAGAAGCTAAAGTAGTAATCATAAAAGCTGCACAAGGTACTTGCTTAAGAACTAACTGGTGAGAGGTGCTATTGAACCAATTTTTCTCGAGAGACCATTAACACTTGTATTTACCTAACAAAAACCAGTAATAAATAACAAGTGCCGACGTGCAGGAGCATAATGAAAGCGAGTAACAAGCAAATCTATTGGTCAATTGTCTTGTCAATGCTAGTACTTTACATATCAATCAATGACTAGTATCGTAGTCCATCATCCCCTTATGAACTGGTCTGAAAAGTTTCCATTTTTAGGCTTTCTATCGTATCATGGAACAACACTAAAAGTGTCTTTTTTTCTTGAAAAGAATAAGGGGGAAACAGTCCCTTCTATTCATTTTCTTTGTATTGTGGTTACTTTGGTGTCATGAAACCAATTAAGACACGAAACGAAGATCGTATGGCCCGGATTTCTTTGGTCTTTAGCGGTTTCATTGGGTGAAACCCCGAATACTGTGGGAGTGTGTGTCTGTTAGCCTTCCCAGGAGGATACACGTAGTATACTTGATATACAGCGTAATACATCAAGAACTGATCCCTGTTATCACTTGTTTCCTATTGGCATGCACCACATTTGTTCTGAGCCGAGTGTTTACGAACATTTCACCACCTTTCAGAGAGTTAAAGACAATTTGCAGCAGACGTGAATTCAGCCAAACCAGAGTTCTCGAGCAATGAAAACTCGGTAACATTGTTATGGTTTTCATGGGATAACGACATTGGGTCCCACTTGGACTTATTTTGGTGATATTGGCGGATTTCCACATCTGTTTTATGATTTTCATGGGAGATTGCGGTTGGTCCGCAGTCAGACCCATTTTGGCAATATTGGTTAGTTTCCAAATTTTTCCTATGATTTCCATGGGAAATCGACTTTTAATCGCACTTGTACTCATTTTGGCGACTCGCCCAGTTTCCAGAACTGTCCTATGATTTTCAAGGGCTATTGTTGTTGGTCCTCACTAAGACCCATTTTAGTGATATTGGCGAGTTTCCACATCTGTCCTAAGATTTTGATGAGATGTTCACCTTGAGTCGCACTTGGACCCATTTTGGCGATATTGGCCAGTTTACATAACTTTCTCGTCCTTTTTATGGGATATTGGCATTAATCCACACTTGGACTCTCTTTGGCGATATTGGCGAATTTCCTCACCTTCATATGATTTTCATGAGATATCGCTGCCGATCCTCGCTGAGACCTATTTTAGCGATATTGGCGAGTTTACACATCTGTTCTATGGGTTTGATGAGATATTGAGTCGCACTTGAACCCATTTTGGCAATATGAACCGGTTTCCACAACTTGGCTATGAGTTTCACAGAATATCGATATTGACCTGCACTTATACCCATTTCGGCGATATTAGCGAATTTTGCCATCTTTTCTCTGATTTTCATCGAATATTGACGTTCATCCGCACTTAGATCCATTTTGACGTCATTGGCGAATTTTCAACTTTTGTCTTATGATTTTAATGGGAGATTGCCGTTGGTCCGCACTTAGACTCATTTTGGAAAAATTTGGTCAGTTTCCAGATTTTTCTTATGATTTCAATGATATCGATATCAATGATATCGATATCAATGATATCGATATCAATGATATCGACATTGACTCGCACTTGGACTCATCTTGGCGATACTACCAATTTCCAGAACTCTGTTATGATTTTCATGGGATATTGCTGTTGATCAGCACTAAGACCCATTGGCGATATTAGCGAGTTTCCGCATCTGTCTTGTGATTTTCATGGGAGATTGCTGTTGGTCCGCACATACACTCATTTTGGAAATATTAGTCAGTTTCCAAATTTTTCCAATGATTTCCATGGGATATCGACATTGAATCGCACTTTGACTCATTTTGGCGATACTGGTCATTATCCATAACTCTTCTATGATTTTCATGGGATATTGCTGTTGATCCGCGCCTAGACCCATTTTAGTGATATTGGCCAGTTTCCACATCTGTCTGATATTTTCATGGGACATTGACATTAAGTAGCAGTTGGACTCATGTTGGCGATATTGGCCAGTTTACATAACTTTCTTCACATTTTTATGAGATATTGGCATTAACCCACACTTGGACTCATTTTAGCGAAATTGGCAAATTTTCTCACCTTCATATTATTTTCTTGTCGACACGCATTAATTTGGAACCATTTTAGCGATATTACGTTCAGTTTTCTAAATTTTTCCCATGATTTCCACGGGAAATCGACATTGACTCGCTCTTGGACTCATTTTAGCGATATTGGCCAGTTTCCAGAACTCTCATATGATTTTCTTGGGATATTGCTGTTGATCTGCACTTAAACCCATTTTGGCAATATTGGCGAGTTTCCAGATCTGTCTCATGATTTTCATGAGATATTGACATTGTGTCGCACCCGGCTCTATTTTGGCGATATTTGCCATTTTCCGAAACTTACCTATGATTTTCAAAGAATATCGACATTGACCTGCAGTTATACCAATTTTCGCGATATTTGGTCAGTTTGAAAGTTTTCCATGGCATATCGACATTGACTCGTATTTGAATCCATTTTAACAAAATATTGGCAAATCTCTGCTACTTTACCATAATATTCATGAGATATTTGAAAACATCGATTTTGGCGATATTGGCTAAGTGCTGCGACTTTCCTGTGTCTTCTGTGGGAAATTGCCATTGACTGCACTTGGATCCATTTAGGCGAAATTAGCCAGTTTCCACGACTTTCTTACGATACTTACGAGAAGTTGCCATTGATTCGCACCTTAACCCATTTTGGCGATTTCAGCCAATCTCTTCGACTTTCCAATAATTTTCATGGGATCTTAGAATTGACCCACAATTGGACTCATTTTTGTGATTTTGGTCAATCCCTGCGACTTTCTTATGATTTTCATGAGATGTCAACGTTGACCCGCACTTGCACCCATCTTGGCGATATTTGTTAGTTTCTACAACTTGCTTATAACGATTTTGACTCACACCTGGACCTATTTAGGCGAAAGTAGCCAGTTTCCACGTCTTTCTTACGATTCTCATGGGACGTTGACACTGATTCGCACCCTAACCCATTTTGGTGATTTCAGCCAATCTCTTCGACTTTCCAATGATTTTCATGGGATCTTAGCATTGACCCGCAATTGGACCCATTTTTGTGATTTTGGTCAATCCCTGCGACTTTCTTATCATTTTTATGAGATGTCAATATTGACCCGCACTTGGACCCATTTTGGAGATATTTGCCAGTTTCCACATCTTGATTATGACGATTTTGACTCCTACTTGGACCCATCTAGGCGAAAGTAGCCAGTTTCCACGACTTTCTTTCGATTCTCATGGGAAGTTGACATTGATTCACACCCTAACTCATTTTGGTGATTTCAGCTAATCTCTTCGACTTTCCAATGATTTTCATGGGATCTTAGCATTCACCCGCAATTGGACCCATTTTTGTGATTTTGGTCAATCCCTGCGACTTTCTTATCATTTTCCTGAGATGTTTACATTGACCCGCACTTGCACCCATTTTGGCGATATTTACCAGTTTCCACAACTTGCTTATAACGATTTTGACTCCCACTTGGACCAATTTAGGCGAAAGTAGCCAGTTTCCGCGACTTTCTTACGATTCTCATGAGAAGTTGAGACTGGTTCGCACCCTAACTCATTTTGGTGATTTCAGCCAATCTCTTCGACTTTCCAATTATTTTCATGGGATCTTAGCATTGACCCACAATTGGACCCATTTTTGTGATTTTGGTCAATCCCTGCGACTTTCCTATCATTTTCCTGAGATGTTTACATTGACCCGCACTTGCACCCATTTTGGCGATATTTACCAGTTTCCACAACTTGCTTATAACGATTTTGACTCCCACTTGGACCAATTTAGGCGAAAGTAGCCAGTTTCCGCGACTTTCTTACGATTCTCATGGGAAGTTGACACTGATTCGCACCCTAACTCATTTTGGTGATTTCAGCCAATCTCTTCGACTTTCTAATGATTTTCATGGGATCTTAGCATTGACCCTCAATTGGACCCATTTTTGTGATTTTGGTCAATCCCTGCGACTTTCTTATCATTTTCACGAGATGTCAACATTGACCCGCACTTGCACCCATTTTGGCGATATTTGCCAGTTTCCACAACTTGCTTATAACGATTTTGACTCCCACTTGCACCCATTTTAGCGATATTGCCCAGTTTCTACAAGTTTCTCACGATCTTTGTGGGATATCGACACTGACTTGCAATTGGACCCATTTTGGCCATAAAGGCCAGTTTCCACAACTTTCTTATGGTATTTATGGGACACTTGGACCCATTTTGCCGACATTGGCCAATTCCTCGACTTCCTCGTCGCTCTTATGGGATATTGCTCTTGATCCACACTCACACTCTCCCTCGTTTTAGCAAAATTGCGAACCTTAGATGTTCTTGACTCATGTAATAATGCACTAAATAATTTTAATAAAGGTCGCCATTGCAATGTGTTAAAATACTTGTCCCGCGAACAAAGACACTTAGGCCAAAATGCTGAAACTTTTTCAATTTAATCAGGTTTCAAACGTCACAACAAAATGA